TCTTTATTGATAATTAAATCTTAAGCGTTACATCAATCATCTCATATATATACATGCAGATTAATGATAACCTATCGTGACTTGTTCTAGGCAGACCTGATTGAAACCTTCCTGTAGGTGGACATATCTAACTAGAAGCTGGATGGAGAAACAGCAAAGGCGGTCTTATGTTTAAAAAGTTTGATTCAAAAGAATATACCTTATGTTAAGGTAATTAAAGAGTAATACAATTTAATAATTATAATTTAATAAGTACGATTTACAGGAATAATTTTTTTATATTTTAAAAAAGTGCAGGCATTTCTTTAATTTATTAACGTATATACTGTATAATTATATACGTATACAGTATACAGTATATGCGATTATACTTTAAATAAAAATTCTTAAATTTAATTAACTCATCATTTAAATTATTATATTTATTAAGGGACGTTTTTTGGGACCGAAACCGGACCAAATTAATTAATAAATTCTATAAGACCGGTATTATTAAGGACTGGAACGGACCGGACTGAACTAGTCCATCACCAGTACGTATTACGCGAAAATAAGGATAAAATTTTTAATCAGATCGGAAGTTTTAAAACAACCACATCTCATAGACTATAATTACTGTAAAAGTAAGAGATGATTCGACTAGATAGTAATTATGCATTAGGATATACTGTACAATAGATAAAGTTTGTTTTTTTTAATTTATTAAAAAAATTTTACATTAATTACATTTCCACTCAATTTTTAGTATAAAAACACTTTTCTAGTCAACCTCACTAGGTTTTCTCTGTCGCGAGTTTACATAACGAGTAATGAAAAACAATAAGCTAACAATCATGCCACCAATATAACCGATTGCATCATTTTGAAAGCCGACCAATAGACCCGCGGTTACAATCAGCAGAGTGAAATTCTTCTTTCTTGTTTCATCGTCATCGCTGTCATACGCGTTCATAAAATTTCGTGACGTGGTCGATAATTCCGTTCCGGACACAAAGAGCATCGCACCGAGAATCGAAGATGGGAAATAAGTCAAAAGATTGGTTAAAGTCCTTCCAAACAATATTCCTATGATCAATTTGAACAACCCGAGAATCAAAACGCTAACTTCAGATCTTGCGCCGAAACGGTATTGTCCAGCAAGTCCGCCTGATCCATGACAATATGGAACAGAGCCGAAAAAACATCCAACGACGTTCATAAGTCCTATCGAATATGAAATTTTCTCAACGGTTATCGGGGACCATTCTGGAAACAATTCGTCGGCTAATGCTGACAACGCAATGATAGAATTGAGAACTGTCAGTGGAAGTTGGCCGAGAGATGCACTGAGAAATCCGGTCTTAAATTCCTCTGGCGTTGGGACAACGATTTCAGGATGATTAAACGAGATTGATGGCAATTTATTATCATTAGATGTAAAGATTTTTACTAGGGCAATTATCAGTCCGACAATGAATAGAATTAATGCCGTCGGTATTCTTTTAGACGAATAGAATGAAAATATGAATATGAACGATATAATAGCCCACTCATAGTTGTCATTCCATAGCCACGAACCACCGCCCCATTTCCCATGTTTTTGAACTAGACCAGCAGCGTTTATGATGAATGTTATGCCCGCTCCCATTTGAATACCCCTGACTATCGGAATAGGTGTCCACTTTTCGATGATTCTAATGGTCCTAGTAATGCCAAGAATAAATACCATTAACCCGACACCAATACCCGCTGACGTGATTTCTCCTATCGATAAATTTGCCGAAAGTGCCACCGCTGCAATAGCTGTCAATAGACGTTTACAAAAAAAAAAAGATTTTTTAAACATACAGATATACACGATTATGTTTTAATAAATAAATAATGAAATGGGAATTTACTACCTTTCATAGGTTGAACGCACATAGGTAGCCGAAAAATCAAACCACTAATTATATTCCA